TGTGGGGGGGTGGGGGGGTTTTATGGCCCTTACCATCCATGGTTCATGATTCATCATCGTCTCTACCTCCTATTGACTGTTCACCAATGGCATAAATTCTTTCAAAATTGTAAACTGTAAATGCATCTTATAAAACATGAAGACTTTTTTATATTGTCACATCTCTTCACTAGTGGGCAAAGCTCTATTCATCTCCCTCTTCTAGAGTCTTCTCTGATCCAGTCAGTGAGGTAAGTAGTTCTCCTCCCCTGACTTTATAGCTCTTGACACATTCCTCCACCTGGCACTCACTGTGCCATACACACTTGTGCCTCTGCTGTTCTGTCTCCTCCACCACCCTGAACTCCTGGACAGAGCTGGGTAGTGTGTAGAGGGTGAAGCACTTTATCAATGTTGGTTAACTAAGAAACAAGTCAATTAATCATGTGAGAATAAAAGACTTCGGGCACAGGGCCATAGAACTCTCAACCAATCACAACAAAAAGTAGTCTCTGGTGGGAAAAGATGGTGTAAGACTAAATGATGTCAAAAGCTATTCACACAAAACCCTAATTTGAAACATGGGAAAAGGGAGTGGGCTGAGTAGAGAAGACGGAAATGGGACAGGGAATAAGACCGGCTGCTCAGGACACACAAGAAACAAGCTCAACATATTGCTCGGACTGCCCAACACAGGTTTTAAAACCAAAAGAACTTTGTTTGACCCTAATATGAAGGACAGTCATGAGTGTGAAGAAAGGCAGGGGAGGAGACTGGCCTACATTAGGAGACTATCCTAATGTATCTGAATTATCACTGAGTTCAAAACTATGCATGAAGATTAAATGCGGCATACACACAGTGGAAAGAGGGAGTCCTATGGTCACTGAAAGACTCCGTAATGGGTAAAACTGGCTCACTAAATGCACGATTATTCATGAAGCTCATGACAGCAACAGGGATGGAAGAGAAAACGCTAGCCTATAGTAGTGACACTGGTGTCCACAGAGCAGTTAGATACCGTGAGTGCCAGAGGGACGTGCTGGGAGATGGCAGAGAAGACTGCTCGTCTTGACCCCATCCGAGCTACTAAGTGCACTTTATTGAGATAACCGAGAAAGACTTTTATTTCCTTGTCTTTGCCAAAATGAAGAAATGATGCTAACATCTTGAATTCACACATTCAATGTATAATAAAAAAACATGGTTTCGAGTGAAGCATGGTGGCGTATGCCTGCAATCCCAGCACTTCGGAGGTCAAGACAGGAGAAGCTGGGATTCAAGGTCATCCTTGGCTACATAGCTAGTTCCAATAAAGCTTGGGCTGCACGACACTCCATCGCACAACTACAACATCAACAAAAACGTAGTTTTTCTAAAATCAGTATGTCACAGAATCATCTTATGTTATTTAATTTTGGAGGCCAAGCCAAGATTTACTGTTGCTATCCCTCCACTTACACTATTCTGGTTTTTGAAGCTCTGCCTGTTTATTTAGTTACTTAGCTAAATGTTATTAAAAAGCAAATGCCATAAAAATCAAATCATTACAGTAGAATTAAATGCAATTATAATTAAATATAATAAGCAAATATGATTAAATAAATATTGCTGCTGCAGTATAGAATAATTAAATGAGTAACAGCAGAATGATGGACCACGTCATTAAACAGGAAGGACAGAGATGACGACAAAGGAAAGTGATGACCGTCACCCTTACAATGCTGCGATCACTAAGTTTAATTTAGTCAAAGTATCAATTAGATCAGTTTATTTTGTACATATAGAAAATTCACTTTTGCTAGTAATTGGAAAAAAATAGTTTGGAAAAGTCAAAACCTCATGTTACTTACCTGTAAATGGAAATAATAACTTTCCTTTAAAAAGTAATCATGATGAACTGTCAATATACCAAGCATATAGCAAGTCCTTGATCATAGGC